CACCCAGGGCTGTGTTAGGGTATCTGCGGAGAAGTGGCTCCTCAGAGGAACACAAATCATAAAGAGGTATTCAGATCTGACCAGTGCTGCCCAGGTCGGCCCAGGCTGCAGGTCACAGGGAGTCAAAGAAGCTGCCAAGTTGACCGCAGCAGCTGAGGAGACTGAGGACTGGGCGCGCACGGCCTCTGGGGTGAATGCCGGCAGATGACATGTGCTGTGGGAAGGCAGTGGCCCCAAGCAAGGCTGCAGCCTCACTAGGAGTGATGGAGACCAGCTCCCACCACAGCAATGTCAGATGTGCATATTCAAGGAAACTGGGCCGGGGCTGTGCGGCAATGCTCTGTACCATGCTTGCAACTTTTCTATAAATCTAAAGCAGTTCTAAAATTAAAATTGCATGGGAGTGGAGGAAGCAAATGAGGCCTGACCTCACAACAGGACTCAAACAAGGAAAGGGGATATTTAGCAAACAGGTGAGCTTTCCACCTCTGCAGACTGAGCTGCAGGAGCAGCTGCTGGGGCAGATGCAGGGGGGAATGAAAGGGGCCTGACCCCTGCCCATCAGAGGAGGGTTCCCTTCTCATCTGACATCTCAGACTGAGCCTGCTCTTCCTGTCTTCATTAGAATGCAACAGGACCATTGATAAAATCCTACAACTCTAGGGAAGAAAAGATTTAAAAGTGAGCAAGCTCAATAATCAGATAACTGTGAACTAAAACTATAGCAAGACACTGCTTTTTGCCTTCCAGGTTGAATTGACAAAGATCAAAGAGTTCAGAAAATGTGTTGCCTGGTGTATAGAGAAATTAGTACAACCTATCTGATAATTTAAAAATCTGAAATGCTATATCCTTCAAGCCAGCAACTTTACTTCTTGGAATCTATCCAGCAGATATGCCTGCGTATATGTGCAAAGGTGTACAGACTGAGATATCTGCTGTGCAATACTGTGGTCACTCAAGACGAGAAACGAGCTACAAGCCAACCAGGAGGAAACGGGTAAAATGCATCCTGGAGCATCACTGCTGGAGCCCTGGGAGGGCACAGTGTCACTTGCTGAACAGTGTTCTCAGTGCGCTGCTGTTTGTGTGAGGGAAAGGAAAAGGGGGTGAGGGGTGGGGTGATTGTATAAACATGAGATATCTCTGGAGCCAGAATCAAGTCGGTTCCAGGAGACGGACAGGAGCCCAGGGCAGAGGCATGCTTTTCATTGCAGATTCCGTCACACTCTCTCCTTTTTATTAACCATATGCTAGCATTCCATTTACAAAATAATTTAATCAAAACTTTTAAAATGAATAAATGCAGTTTATTGTTTATCAAAATAAAAAAATATAAGAAAAAAGAGGTGGGTCACTGAGTCCAATTTTCCACCTGATCAAAGTGCTGTATATTCAGCAACACGTTAGCCCCTTCTTGCCCTCAACTGGGTATGACTATGTCCCCCAGGGGACATTTGGCAATGTCGGAGACACTTTTGGTTGTCACAACTGGGGTGGGGGGAGGAATTCCGACCATCTGGTGGGTGAAGAACAAGACTAACATGCTATGCTGCAAAGCACAGGACCCCCCCCCGCCCACCCCCAAGAATTTTGCCCCGAATGTCAACAGTGCCACTGCTGAGAAACCCTGGTCTGTCATAAACACTGTTTCCCTCGATGGTGTCCGGTTTGGGGCTAGTTTCAATTATTAGAAAGTCTTTTCTCAAATTGAACCCAACCTGCCTGCTTATAAAGCTTCCTTCTCCAAGCTTTACTTTAGCACTTGCTTCCTTCCCAGCACTGCGGTGGGCATGGTGGCTGTGCAGAAGGAAGTCACCGAGATGGGGGAGGGTGCAGGGCAGGACCAAATTGTGTTCTCGGGCCCTCAGACACCACCTTCTATTTTAGAGAGTCGTAAAGTCTGTGAAGGAGGAGGAAGGAAAACCATATGCCTTTCTGGCGAAAGGAGACACATCAGGGCATGGCAAGGCACAGGGTCCCTGGACCCAGGATCTCAAGACCCCTGGGAAAGTGACTCTGACCTCTCACTGCCTCCAGGGACCCTCTCTCCTTCACTCCCTCCCCCATGAGCGCCCAGAGGGAATTCCCTAAACACAAATCCCATTGGATCACCCGCAGCATTGCCTTCAGGGCCACAGACAGAGATTTCATAAAGAGTTGGGGGTGGGGAAGTGAGGAGGGAGACAGGACAAAGCTGGGCTGCCAGAGGCCCCTTCGTCCTGAAGGCTCCAGCCTCTCAGATCAGGGTTTCCTTCAGGCGTCTGTCTGCTCTGTGCATCCAGAGGGAGGGACCCTCAATACCTGCACAACTTTGTGCTCAACTTTGAGAAGGTTTGTGTCGGGCCTGGGGAATCATTTCTCACAGCCCCCAGGCTAGAACTGACCTCTCACCTGGCTGACTGCAGAGCTCACCTGATGCTGTCCATCCTACCCCACAGCCCCCAGTCCCCACCACAACACACTGGCACAAAGGCAGAGCCATCCTTCCCCCATCATAGTGGACACCTATGAGAGCAAGTGACCCACCCAGGACCACACGGCGCAGGACTGCTGCCTGGCCGCCCAAGAACCCCTCCCAAGACCGCTCCTCTGGTCAGGTGGAGAATATTTGTACCTGCCCTCGCAGGCAGGAACTCAGGTAAACAGGTCCTCAGAACATAAGCCCTGTCCCCAGCTGCGGATCAAAGAGGGGGAGAGATGTGGAGACTGCCACAAGCACCCAGCCCTGGGGGCTGCCAGGGAGACTGCCCAGCACTGTGGATTTACTTGTCCATCTCCACATCTAGGTCCCAGGATCAAAACTCATATGTCTACACAGTGGGAAGCTAGCACAGACATCCAAGCTTGGGTCAGCCACTACCTGGCAGGCAGGGGGCCCAGGCTGCTGGGAGGGGAGGGGAATGGGCTGGAGATGCCAATGGGCAGTTCCAGGAACGGCTGGGCACTAGGTGGACCAGAGGGCTGGCTACACAAAGCTAGACTTAGATTAAGAGGGTCACATGATGACACTGCACCATAAGAACCTCAAGGCCACACAGTAGCTAGTTCTTCCACCCTCCAGCTGGCAATTGCGGAGCTCAAGGCACAAGCCGTACCTGGCAGGCTCGGACCTTCCAAGGGGCAGGCAGGATGGTAGTGTTAAGACAGCCTCCCATCCAGCCCTTCCACCCCCAGGGTTTCATCACCCCTCACCCCAGGGCTCAGTCACCCCTCACCTTAGAGCTTCGTCATCTCTTACCAGGAGCTCCATCACCCCTCACCCACAGCTCCATCACCCCTCACCAAGGACTCCATCAGCCCCTAACTGGTCTCTGGTCTCTCTCCATCTTGCTCTACAATCCATGACCTTCAAAGCACTCTGGGAAAATTCTGTAAAATGTAAACTGCAAAATGCTGTGCCCCTGTCCCCACCCTACTGCATTGGGGATAAAATGTGAATGCCCCCCAACAAGGCCTACAGGCCGAGGTGCCTCCCCCACCACCTCTCCCCTCACTTGGGAGAGGCCACGTTTCCCCCTCCCACACAGCTTGCTCTAGGTTGCCTCCAAGCTGCCCCAGCGTAGACCCAGAGGTGGCTGAAGACACGGGCCATGCTACCTATGGGGCCATTCCCTGGCCCAACCTGGGTCCCCCAGCGATGCCTGCAGGGCCTGGTGCTGGCACATGCCACCTGCAGGAGTGGGAACCCTCCTCATTGCTGGTCTCAGTGCCTAGAACAGTGCCTAGCCCCCAAGGTGCTCAGGAAATGTTGCCAACTGGACAGACTCCCTCGATGACAGACGAGGAGCCAGGCCCAGTCACAGGCAAACCTCCTGACTCCCAGCACGACCCATACAGGACACCCGGCCCTTTTGAAACTCAGGGATTCCTCACGTGTGACAGAGTCACCAAGCACATCCAGGAGCAGCACAAAGCCTTCCAGACTGTTCCCAGATGCCCGTGCTTTGGCTGGAATGGCAGGAGTGGGGGGAGCCAACCGGGGGCAAAGCCCCTCAGCACCATTATCAGTCGTGACCCCCATGGCTGCTGCCTCTCCCCCAGCCACTTTCCCCCGAGCAGACCCAGGTCCGAGGCCCACAGAGAGCAGATGCAAGGATCAAGGTGGCATAGAGAAGTACCCAGTGCTTGGTGCAAGCAGGGGCAGGCAGCTTCTCCCCTCGAGGCTGTTCTACAGCACCTCTGCAACACACTGTATCTGCAAAACAGCTGGAGTGAAACAGCCTCTGCAGTTCTGTCCACTTTCAGGGAAGAGATTCCACAAGCACCAGCGGCAACCAGTCCTTGTGTCTGGTCAACTCCAGTGTAAGGAGGTTTGGTGAGAGCCCCTCCTGCTTCCCCCTTGAGCCTGTGTGTGCTGCTCTGTGTGGGACCATTGGGTCCTCGCCTCTCTCCCAGCGTCTGGGGAGCTCTCAAGAAGCCCCACTTGACCCCCCCCCTCCCCCCGGTCCATATGGGAGACAGACTGGCTCAGGCTGCAGTTTCTGGATTGTTCCAGGTCAAGTATCTCAGGACCTCCAGCCTCAGTCTCTCCTGCAGGGAAATGGGGCCTGAACCCCCAAATGCATCATGTCATCGCTCTAGCAATGACAAGTCAGCCCAGGAAGGTGGTGAGGTGGGGCCTGGCAGGGAAGGAGCCTCATGCCTTTAGACCAGCCCCTGTGTTCCAAGAAGCACTTCCTAACTGTTCTTCTAGCTCGCTCAACTTTCCTGGAGATTCACACACAGAATCTGCTTTGATGAGGCTTTCTAAGGAAAAAGGTCAAATAAGGGGCCAAGTCCCAAAGTCACAAGAATATCTAACAGTAGCAGAGTCCACTGAGCTGCTGCGAGTTCCACAGTGATCAGGAATTGTTGGCCGCAGTGGGGTGAGGGTGCTGGGGTCAGGGTGCTGTGCGGGACCTGGCTGCCCCCAGGGTAGGTGTGTCGTTCCCCAGCTCAGACCTTGTTCCCAGAACACTCTCCAAGGCCAATCAGACTCTTGCACTTGTCCAAGGCTGCAGGCCCAGTACCCAGCCGATGGTGCCAGGCACACGAAGGACGAGGGCTTTGCACACACTCTCTGTCAGGGCCTCTGCTGGCCCACCCTTCACCTCCAAGTGAATCAGAAAACAGTGCCCCTGCTTGGGGGACCCAGCCCTGGCTCTGACAACAGGCAGCCTGAGTTCAATTCCCAGCTTCTCACTGCCCAGCTGCAGGGGCCTGGTTATCTTCCTCTCTGACCCTTGCTCTGGTCTCTAACCTTGGAGAAATCTGAGCAGGGACAATAAAGGATGCAGGGTTTGACGTGGCCTTGGCACACCCTACCCTCCTGGCCTCCCCACGGGAACCCCTAGTTCCTAGCCCTGAAGGAGGATCCCCCACCCACACCCATGCCCAACCCCTGTGGAGGCCTCCACTGCTCCTCTGGTCAGAACACTCACTGGATCTTCCCCTCCCAGACCACCCAGCTCTAGCAGCAGCTCCAGACTTCCCACCCCAAGGACCAGGACACTGGGAGTCTGGTGGGCTCCCCTGGCAAGCCTCAGAGCCCCAAGTCCTGGTGGCTATCCTACTCAGTTCAGGGAGAACTGCTGGGCCATCTGCCCAGCCCGAACATCCAGGTGTGCACACAGCAGCATCATGTGCATGAACACCATGAGTGTGCCCAGGCAGGCGGTGCCCTGCACATGTGTGGTTCTGAAAATTCAACCACCACATGTTAAAAGGTGGTTACAAAAAAGATAAAAGTACCAGCAATAAACAATCCGAAAAGAAAATAATTTCACTTACAATAATATCCAAAAAAAATAAAACAGCTAGGAATAAGTTTAACCACGGAGGTGAAAGACCTGTACACTGAAAGCTACAAAACATTGCTAAAAGAAATTAAAGAAGACACAAAGAAATGGAGTGACATTTCATGTTCATGGAGCAGAAGACTTCATTAATACTATTAAGATGGCAATGCTAACCAAAGGGATCTAAAGATTCAATAAAATTCCTAACACAATTTCAACAGCCCTTTCTGCAGAAATGGAAAAGCCAATTTTCAAATTCACATGGAATTACAAGGGCCCCAGATAGTCAAAACAATCTTGAAAAAGAGGAACAAAGTCAGAGGACTCACACTTTCTGATTTCAAAACTTAGTACAAACGTGCAATAATCAAAACAGTGTGGTTCTGGCATAAGGACAGACATGTTTACCAATGAAATACAAGTAAGGGTTCAGAAATAAATCCTTGGTGTATGATCAGCAAATGATTTTCAAAAGGGTAACAAGACCATTCAACGGAGAAAGAACAGTCTTCAACAAATGGTGCTGGGGGCCGGCCCGGTGGCACACTGCTACAGTGCGCCGCTTGGGAGCATGGTGGCACTCCCGCCGAGGGTTCAGATCCCACATACAGACCGGTTCCCGCTCACTGGCTGAGCGAGGTGCGGGCGCAGCACCGAGGGTTGCGATCCCGTTGCCGGTCCCAGTCCGGTACGGGCGTGACACTGAGGGTTGCGATCCGTTGCCGGACACGAAAAAAGACAAAAAGGAGAAAAAAAAAAAAAATGGTGCTGGGATGACTGGATATCCACATGCAAAAGGATGAAGTTGGACTCCCACCTCACACCGTTACAAACATAAACTTAAAATAGACCGAAAACCCAAATATGAGAGCTAAAACTATAAAACTCCTAAAAGAAATCGTAAGGGTGAATCTTCATAACCTTGGATTTGATAATGGATTCTTAGATTTGACACCAAAAGCACAAGCAACAAAGGAAAATATAGATAAATTACTTTATTAAAGTTTGAAACTTTTGTGCATCAGTGAACCTTATCAAGAAAGTAAGGGCTGGCAGGCTAGCACAGTTGGTTAGAGCGCAGCCTTACAACTCAGAAGTCACGGGTTTGTATCCCCATGCCAGCCAGCCACACAAAAAAATAGAAAGTGAAAAGACAACCCACAGAAGAGCAAAACAAAACTGCAAATCATGTATTTGATAAGGGTATAGTATCCAGAATATACAAATAATTCTTACAGCTCAGCAATAAAAAGACAAATAATCCAACTTAAAAATGGGCAAATGACTTGAACAGACATTTCTCCAAAGAAGATATATGCAAATCACCAATAAGAACGTGAAAAGATGCTCAACGTAATTATCATTAGGAAAATACAAGTCAACACCACAATATAATACCACTTCACACCTCCCAGGATGGCTATAATTTAAAAAATAGGAAAATATCAAGTGCTAGTGAGGATGTGGAGAAATTGGAATACTCGTAACATTGTTGGTAAAAATTTAAAATACAGCAGTCCCTGTGGAAAATGGTTGGTTACCCAAAAAATTAAAACATAGAATTACCATATGATCCAGCAATTTCACTTCTAAGTATATACCCCAAAGAACTGAAAACATGTCCAAACAAATCTTTGTATATAAATGTTCATAGCAGCATTATTTACAACAACCACAGATGGAAACAACCCAAATGTATATCAACTGACCAATGGATACACTGTGGTATATCCACACAATAGAAAATTATTCAGCCATAAAAATCAGTGAAACACTGACACATGCTACAATATGGATGAACCTCAAAAAAAGTATGCTAAGTGAAAGAAGCCAGACACAAGAGGTTACACATTGTATGATTATATTTATATGAAATATGAAATATCCAGAATAGATAAATCCATACAGACAGGAAGCCGACTGGTGCTCGTTAGCGGCTGGTGAATGGGGGAAAGGGGACTGACTGCTTAATGGCTATGGGGTCCACTTTGGAGTGATGAAAATGTTTGGAAACTAGATAGAGGTGGTGGCTGCACAACATTATGAGTGCACTAAATGCCACTAAACTGAACATTTTAAAATGGTAAATTTTATGTTATCTGAATTTTGCCTCAATTAAAAAAAAAAAGAAAAGAAAAAGGCTGTTTTCTCCATCTGCCTCGACAGATCCCTCAAAGACCTTCAGTTATTACGCTCTGAGATAAAAGCCAGTCACTGACTATAATTCTAAATATGTTTTTCCCTGGATCACCCAGCACTTTGGTGGTGGGAAGAGTCCAGGAGAAAACTAAACAGACCCTGCACCCTAAAGCTCAGGGGCCAAGACCCATCCTGGAGCCCACAGTTGGGGTAGCCCACCTACCACCAAGCCAAAACGCTGAGAATCAAGTAGGCAGAGGTAAGAGCTGAAGACAGACAGAGACAGAGATGGAGGCACTGCAGCAGGATGGACCCTGAGACACTTGGTGCTCTG